TTTACTTAAAATTCCTTGGCAAACAGAAAATTTCAACGAATGTCCTGATAGTTAAGTGCAGCTTTTTCGCATACAATAAGTTATATCTTCCATTACTGGCACTATGTACTAATACTACATTGTGAACTATAGAAATTTATAACGTTTTAGTTTTTAAAGAATTGCATTGTGTGTATATATGCATTTGGGATCTTTTGAATATGCAGTGGAGTTCACTGTAATATACAAATTTTTTTATTATCCTTTTTGTCGTTATGTTATCTTAGTGCTATTAGTTTTATTTAATGATACAGTGATGAGATTTTAGTTGCAGACTATTGAAAAAAGAGCCTTTCGGATGACCGAGAAATTAAAATTTGGCTGTGAATTTGCATTAATTTTATTAAATGGTTTTCGTTCTGCACAAATTATATTTTATAATAAATTTAAATAATTTTAAACAGCCAAATATTAGCATTCGAATTATATTAATGTTTCCTTTGGTTATGATTATGTTTCCAGAAGTTGTCATTTATTATTATGTTAAGCCTTTTCCGAGTTAGTGCATCTAAGCACTTTTACTCTATGATAGCTGGAGGGATTCTGCAGAGTCCCACCCATCTCACTGACTAATTTGACTATCCCTCATAATCTTTGTGATTATTCAATGATTGATCTAAGATCTGCGTACCGCCCCGTGCGGTTAGTGATTACTCTGAGATTAGATAGTGCTAAGTAGGCCAGTATACTTCGCATATAGCTTCAAAGCTCTGTCTGTATTTTTTGACTGGAACTTCTCTAAGGTTTCTTATCATGTCATTCGTGCGAATATACCATGAAACTTTGAAGAGCCTTCGAAGAGCCTGACTTTGAGCAACTTGTAGCTTTTGGATAGTAGAGTCGGCAACTTTGCTATACGTGACACACCCATAAAGTAGTGCTGGTCTTATTATCTGGCTGTAGATCAGCTTTCAGCTGTTCTTCACGCTAAGTGCTTATAAATATATATATATATCTGTAGTTATTTAAACAAAAAAAAAAACGCAATGTTTCTTGATATTTTTATTAAACTTCAAACTTTTATTAAATTAAAAACTACTTTAGTCAAAAATAAAATTTAGTCTTTATGAATTTATGTTTTAACTTTAACTTTGCAAACTTATCAAAACTTCTATTTTTCTTCTTCTCTCTTCTTATATCTTTCTTTTCTTCTTATCTTGCTTTTATTTCAATCTTTGCTTTTATTTCACTGTCTTATCTCCCCTATTACACTACTTTATTCACATATGTATGTGATGCTGATGATAAGATTCAAATCAATCAGTTCGCTAGAAAATAGTAGCTCATAATGTATAGCACCCCAAAAATCTCAACTAATCATTAGTCCCGGCTTTGTAACTATGTGTAGAGTTTCTCCTCCACAACTGAACTTTAATGCAATCAAATTGAAAATTGACTCTGTTTACGTCAACCTTGCACTATCGTCCTTTCAAATAGAATCAAATAGAATTTTATAACTGAACGATATTCAATTTTTTTTTCTATTTTATAAAAAATTATCTAGGTGCAGTATTTCAATTATTGGCAAAAAGCTCTCCAAACATATGATGAAGTCAAAACTTTTACAATTATTTTGTTTTAGCGTTGCCACCTGTTGTGAAGTCAGGTACTTATTAATGCAGTTCGTATAACTTTCATTTATTGTACTTCTTAGCCAAGTGCACAAATAACGCCGAATACTTTTTGCCCAATATATACGATTTCTTTTCACAGAAACAAAAAACGGTTTATGTCACTTGTTCATTATTTCGTACTTTTATCATTTAGGATTTAATAATAATACACTTTTTAAAAAAATTGTGTTTGCGTTTTAGAAATCATTTAAGATTTATATTATACATTTATATAACTATATATATTTATTAACTATTTAACAAATGTCTATTACAATAATTAAATATTATTCCATATTCATGTACATATTTAGTTGCTAAAATATTTATATTACCAAACTCTTTAAATTTAAATCTCAGTTGCATTCTTAACATTCGCCAGCATCCCTACAACATACTGTTCATTTTAATTTTTTTTTTTTAAATAAAATACAACTAATTTTTTTCTAAACAATTACAAAAACATGTTTTTAGGCACTTCAGAATGCACCAAAGCGTACTAATCTCCTGCCGGTATAAACTCGACCAGACAAAAAATCTGTAGAATATAAAAACAGTAACACTATTTAAAAAATTTCACTTTTTGTATAGCTTAAACGACAACAATTTGGCAAAGCAAATACTTTAAAGCACCTAACAGTATGCAACAAAAACTAAAATAATTGGCAAACTGCCAAAATGGATTTGAAAGTGTTGATAACATAAGAGAATTTAAAAAATGCTTGCATTAAATTTTTAATTAAATTGTATGAACTTTAAAAAGCATAAACCACAAACACAGAATGTAAAGCATTCTTTTAGGCACTTAACCTAAATGTGTGCGGTAGAGTATTTAGAATAACACAAATGAAAGATACAATATCAAAATTTAATTGATTTAGTAAAATTTATCTCATTTCGGTAAGCTTAACAACTATAGACTGATACATATTCGACATATATATGTACCTATATATACATATGGTATAGTTAAGTATAATAAATATATATGTATAAGTACATGTGTTTACATTTTTGTGTGGTCTTATGTACTTAAGTTTGATTACGTGTAAATCACATAAACTTTGTTCAATAGACAAATTCACCGAATTCCAAAGATTGGCACTCTTAACAAACGAAATAAACTAAATAGCATAAATCTTTTTGGTGCGAGTTTTTGGCCGCTGTTCGATTCACTTCACCTGCCGGTAGATGGTCTGCACTTCCTGATTATTCGCTTATTTTCGTTGTGTACGCATTTTGCGGCTTTGGTACCTCGAAAACGTTGCCAAAAAACAGTTAGCTGTGGTCAATGACTCAATTGAAACGTTTCATTCGGTTGATTCACTAGCTGGATGCATAGTTGGTTGAATGGGAATTTCGTGCTCGCATTTGTACGTTCTCGGACTAAAATGTTTTGGGCTTTTAAGCTGTAAATTAAGGTTAATCATACGTTAATCAGCACATAATTGGATTTTGACCAAAATGTGTAGAGAGCTCATAAATTACCATTATTTTACTTTAACGAATAGTTTTTACCAGCGTCATTTAACAATTTAATTAAATTAATTAAAATTTAATATTTAAGCCGGCAAAGTAGCTGTAATAAATTGGTAAAGAATAATACCAAAAATGGAAGATTAAAATTATTAATGACAAAACCAAGGCTATATTTATAACTCGAAAAATAAGACAGTATCCTCCAAGAGTGAGCGTTTGTGACACAAAGATACGGTGGGAGGATAACATAAAATATCTGGTTGTCACTTTTGACAAACGGTTCAATTGGCTTAAACATTCGAAAAACAAACGTAATAGCTACTCTAAGATTCTACATTTATTAAAACCGCTATTTAATAATTATCACTTCAACTTTAAAAACAGAAAGTTACTTTATACGCAAGTAATTAGACCAGCACTACTGTACGGATGTGTTACATCTGTTCTCACAAGCTAATGCACCCACAAATGGGAACCTTATTGATCTGATCCGCTCTGACCCACAGAACTAGCCACTATCTAGGCAAAATTCAATTAAAATCCTCCCATCCCGTCATTTATCTTTCATCCCAAACGATATCTTACTATATTTTAACATTCCATGTTTTCTGCTATATATGTGAGATCTTCACGGGTAACAAAAACAGCAACAACCGGTAATTGGTTATAGATTACGATGAGAATATTTGAAGAATAGATCCGATTGCTTTCAGAAACATAACCTACAAATTCCACTTTCGAGATTCTACTTTCCACTTATTCTCATTTCAAATACAACAACTTTTCACTTATATACATACACTTTGTTTCTCATTCAAGAGTCGATTAACTCGAAAGTCTTAGGAATTCAATCTTTATTGTAGGCCCGCTCTTTCAGATAGAGTGCTACTACAAAAGATATTTTTCGCATTCTGTTTATTGTAACAGTCTATTTTGGGCATTAAACTTTTTGAGAATGATTTTAAATCCGGAATAGTAACACTTATTTAGACCAGCCAGTATTTCTAAATGGATTCCTATGATCAACATAATAATCCAACTTTATAGTTTTATGTAGAACTTATGCAACAAATTCAAATCCGTTACACCCTATATCATCGATATAACCATAATGGCATACCATAACGACCATACATATGCGTACAATACCTTTTTGTATAATTATTAGCATATTTATTTTATTTTAAATTAATCCTTATCGATTTAAAATTTTAATATTTTCGTTTACAGCAATTTTTATTCATTTTCCATTGACACATCGCATCATTAACTGTGAAATCACTTGAAAATAAGTGTACAAACACCCATCCCAGCTGTACTTGTCCTCTGTCGAATTATGTACCAACAAAATATTGTAAAATATAAATTAAATGCACACGCAGTGTCAGTCATCAATCCAACTGTCAGACAACCCCCGACCCATACCGTCCATCCAAAAAAAAATAACAATTAATTCATATCAGTGATGCACTCAACTGCTTTTCAAAAAACAAAAAGCCAAAATCAAAAAATGTTTAACATGTCTGAGTTGACCACTCAAAAAAATGGCATATTAAATCCCCACCGCACATACAATATGTGAGTTGTCAACAAGGAACAAGGAAGCACATAGTCAGCCGGAAGTTGATTACGCTAAAAGCGTCCGGCAACAAACCCCGAACAGTTAGCCGAACATGGATGACGGGTACTCAATAGAGTTTGAGTTTGAGAAAGAGTTTATGCACATTTATCGTTTTGCTGTTAGCTGTTAACATAGGACGGAGGGAAAAGTACCAGCAACAGCAATAGCAACAAAAGTGAAATTATTTGAAGCCTTGTGTTCACTTTCAGGCGCTAATTAATCAAATGAAACAACAACTGACAGAGAAATTAATTTTTAATTCAATTTATCACACAAACACAGCTTTTGGCATCCAAAATGATGGCAAATTGCATGCGATGCCATCAGCTGCCATTAAACTATTTGAATAACAAAATAGGTTTTAATGAATAAAGTTTAAGAGCAAATAGGTTTAAAGAGGAAAACAATAGCAATGTAATTACAATATAATATAAACAAACTTAATAAATACTCAAACTAAATAATAATACAATTAATGCTCTGCCTTAAACTTAAATAAAATTAAGTAAATGCTTAACTTTTCAGCTTTCGGCCAGTGCCTCTAGCAGCAGCTGCACCGCGTCTAAAACGTGAGTGTGCGCCATATGACTTGCCAGCAGCAATCATCGCAGTTGAGCCCTGTACTTCATCCTTTTCAGGTAAGTGCGCTACATGTAATATATCCCACAACAATTTGCCATTTTCTCTAGAATCAAGCAGATCACTTAATTCACTCTGCAAATAATATAAAACAAATTATTTCATTTTATAATTAAATAATCTAAAACCATAAAGGACTCACCTCGGTTTTTTTAAGCAACTCCTTGAGACTACCACCAAGTCGCATTAGTTTGTGTATATTTTTTGTGTTAACACCAGGTAGACGTAGGAGAAAGTCATAGATATTTGCATTATATTTCAGTTCATCGTATGCACCACCAGCTTCATCACTACCCAATGTAGCAGCTTTCTTCGAGTCGGGCTGTTCCTTACCCATTTTTAAGTCCTCAAATAGCTGTGAGGTGGCATATGGACTTGGTGACCAAATTAAACGCAGCTTAGGAAAATGTAAAGTTAGTAATTGCAGTTTCTGTACAATGTCGGCATTTGCTGTTGAAGTGTTCTGTGAAATCATATATTTTCCTTGCAAATGGAACGGTTTATTCTGATCAAATTCTATCAGCAATATGGGTTTAGCATAAAATCGCTGCATTTGTATGCATTGATTATACAAACGACCTGAATTTAATGAACCAATTAAATCAGATATTGATTTACGTTCCACACATATGTCAGGTGTTAAAATGTAGTCACCAATCTAACGAAAAATAAAATTAAAATATTTCTGGTTATTTTAAAGTCAAATGTTTGGATTTTAATAATGATATGTAAAGGCGTATGTGAACAAAATGTTAATATCAAGTGATAACCTAACTCGCAGAAAACCCGCGACTCGATCATGCCGTAAGAGACGCACAAGGTTTCGCTTTGACACAAAAGGTTTGGCGCTGGGACATAAAAATATTGAAGCGAACGAATGTAACAGACAACCACGATGTGTAAATAGTCACAATGTAAGATTTCAACTACTAGATTATCATGGCCAAGGCTTTAAGAGCGACCGGGTTTATGTCCGGAAGCTACAGTTGTTGTTATTGTAAGCCGAAGGGATCTGCTTCTGCAGTACTTTTTCAATTCGAAGTCAACGGGTAGCTCCGGGATGTAATCCCGGCCATTCTTGTATCTCTCAGAGTCACTTCTCCAATTCGCCAGCAGATCTCCACGAGTTGTAACAACAACAACATATGTTAAGTGTTTAGAAGTATAAAAGAATTCAGCATCACGTCAACAAATTTCTTCTGGACTAATTACGAGGACTGTGGGGTCGCCAGGACCTTATGGCCTTGATTAGACAAGAATAAAACGAAAAACTAAGTGGGCTTTAGCAAACTCGCAGTTCATGTACTTACTAGAGCACTAACGGGCCACTGTAGCATTGTACTATTGCTTAAATTGTGTCGTATTCCGATAACTGGATTATGCAGCACTTGACACCGTGAAGAGGCGATAGAATTCAACCAGCAATAACTTTCTGTTTTTATCCAGAATTACAGACAAAGTGAGTTCAATACCTTGGAAATCGTTTTTTTACTGGTCTGTCAAAACTATCAAAAATTAACTTATAAGATCTTATCCTTATCCAAAAAAACCAAATGGTTTAACAAGAATAACACATGAAGTGAACAACGGTTACTGTAAATCATCCCTCCCACTTAACTTGGAGGATAATGGGCAAAAGATGACTACGACGATCTTGGTAGTGGTATCAGCACTCGCCCTCTCAATATAACCTAACCTAAACAGAGAAAATGGGCCTATCGTGATTCCACAATTATTAAGTTACGCTGACTATTATAGACTAAGATACCCGTATGTGTCTTCACAGGTCAATGTCTCTGAAGTTTATATTGAGTAAATTCGACAAATATGTAATGCCTTCGAATTTTGGAAGTTATTTTGCGTACTTTCTCAGGGCGGGTCATTCTAATAACTTATTAAGTTATTTATTCAACTTATTAAAATAACCCGCTATGAAAAAGTGTTCAAGAACCATCGTCGATTTGTAACAAAATGATTAAAAATGATTACTATATGTTTAAACATTTTTTATAGTTTGTTAACTTAAGCGTTCACATATTATAAAATTAAAATAATAGATTATTTTAATAAATATTATTAAATCTAAAAAATTAGTTAATAAAAGGCACTTACTGTTATAGTCACTGGTTGCACTTCAATGCCTCGTTTGTGTAGCAAACAAGGTAGATCAGAACGAAATTCACGCATATCAACAATGACTTTTGGTATCTCACGTTTCTTTACCAACTGACCACCGGCCTGTGCAGTTTGTTTATTATCCAACTCATCATCATCAGAATCTATATATTTTTTGTACAACGTAAATGCTTCATCCGTCTTACCATCCTGATATTCTGGTACAACCATTGTCTATTATTAAAAAAAAAAAAAAATAATTATATTTGAAATATAAATTTTTAAAAATTTTTACTCTTTTAGTTTCTATTATCAACTCAAAGGCTTGTTTTTCTCTTCTCAGACTAGTTAAATAGGATTGTTCTTCAACTGTACGTGCATGTATCAAAAAGAAAACCTTTATACGTTTTTTGGCAGCTCTTTTTTGCCTCGCTTCATATATTTCCAATTGTCTGATAGCTGTTACATTTGTGTTATACATAATCACATAATCTGGTTCCAGCTCTTCAAGTACTCGATCCAATGCCAACGATCCCTCACGTTCCGTTTTAAAAGTCTGTATACAAATAAAAGGTTGCTTACGTGCCGCTACTGCAGCAGTTATATCAAAGTTTTCCAACTGATAAAAATAGAATATAAATAGATTGTTATTATATATCATATGTATAATTGAATTATATATTTATAAGCATATATATTTAAAAATTTATTTATTAATAACATAACATATATAAACTTTCCAACTGAAAAAGACAGGAACATATGGATAATAAATTTTCTAATTCTAATTAGTGGTGCGAACCGGTTCCGAATCGAACTAGTTTTAAGCTAGTATCACTGACTATTTAGTTTACTTTAATTAAAAATCCATTCATTCCCAAACCAAGCTCGTTTCCAAAGCAATTCCTTTCCTTTCCTTACTTGATATAACCATATTAACCATGGGTTAGAATATGATTTGGTGTTAGTAGTGTGAAAAGAAAGGGAATTGTTTTGGGATCAAGAATGGTTTGAAGGTGCATAAGACTTTGATTGAAGTCAACGTAAGTTAAGGCGGGGAAAACTAGTCACCAGCAGAACTTGGTGGCCTGGAAACATGAGTAACTCTGGGACACACCCCCACCGGATCCCTTTCTCATTGATTTCATGTAAATTATTTGAAATACATACAAAATACAAATTAAAATTGTATTTTAAGTATAAATAATTTTTGGTTTAAAAATTTACTAGAATTTTAGCCTAAGTGTTATCAATAGCCATAATAATTGAGTGTTTATTGGAACTCCGTGTCTTTAAAGTGGCTAAGTTTCGCTGTTTTGATCAGAGCTTGATTGACTGTTTTCTCTTTTGAAGATAATTTAATTGCCTTCTATCTCAGGTTTCAGTGTAATTAAAATTTAACCCAATCTCAATTCATCTCTAAACAATTCTCTTCCTTCTCACATTACGTTTACCCAACCATATACTAACCCATAAGATATGTGTATAGATCCTAGTGAGTTACTACAACAACACCAACAACTAGCTAACTTCATCATTTTACCAATTCCGTAGTTGATATATATTACATTTTGATCACATAACTAAATCTCATGAATTTCACTAAAGACCACAATAGTTTTTATTCTTAGGAGAGATCTCATTGAAATATCTTTTTAGCCTAAGGTTCCTAATTAAATAATCTTAATAATAACGAAAATTAATATATTAGTAAGAATATTGTTTATAATATTTACTTCTGGAAATGGTTCAAAAACGGATAGATCTGCATTAACCTCTTCATCATTTCCACTGTCATTGAAAAGTGATAAATTCGTATCATCGAAGTTTTGTGTCATTGTTAGCATATAACTTTCTTGAAAATATTTAGCATCTAAATTTTCCTCAGCTTCAATACCGCTCAGTAACTGCGTTAATTCATCCATTTGTGTTTGTTCGCCATCAGTGGTCTCATCTCCATTACTTTTACTTTGCTCCTTAACACCGCTCGCATTTTTACTACTAACATTACTAGTGTTTTGCGTAAAAGTCAACTCTAAATCTTTAGCATTCTTGACTTTTTGAAAAGATTTACCAAGTTTTTTTATAGGTATCTCATGCCTCATAGCATTATAGAGCATATAGCGTTCGCCACCTTGTGTTAGGTATTGCTTGAGCTGAAAACAAGTACGCGTATCTTGGCAGAGTACTAATACTTTTGGTGGTGTGATGGAATCTGGTTTCGTACGCTTCATATCGGCCGGTATTTCAACGCGCAATATTTCGGTTAAGTATTTCCATTTTGGTACTGCTTCAGGTTCGAATTCTAGTGGATTTCTAGTAGGTTAAATTAACGGTTATTAATATAGCTACAATTCAAATTACCATCTTCTTTATTATAAACACGCTCTTTAGAGTGTTTGAAAATTTGCTCAGCAGAGTCCAATAATGTCCAACCGGAATTTGTCATGGCATAATCAGTTGTGCGATAACGTTTTATTAATGCATAAGCACTCACGGCATCATTATACATTGTGGAGCTGTAAAAATGAGTAAACGTATTTAACAAAATTAACTTTGTTTAAAATTAAATTAACTCACATAATTAAACTTCTTAAGATTTTTAAATCAGCAACAATTAATTTTGTTTGTGAATTTAGCTGATGCCATATGCAATCCAGTTGCGCTTGCAAAATCTTATGAAACTTCTTCGTCACGCAATTCTCGACTGTTATTTCCTCCAAGTCAATTGTGCGATTTATGCGTTTAATTTCGCGTACCAAAAAATTCATAGTATCTAATAAATTCGTTTGTATGAGCTCCATTTTATGTGTTAAAGGTACATGGATTTCTATAGTCTGTGCTTCATATGGCTTTATGGTTTGTTGCACTGTGGCATGGAAGCGGGGCCAAATAAAAAGATGCTTCAGAAACAGATTACGCAGTATACGTTCGATGTGATTATAACCAATCGTGAATGCTTCAGCGCTGTTGGAGAATGCTTTAATGAAACCAGTTTTGTTTTGTTGTCTATATAAACGCAAGACAAAAGCCTCCTGACATGACTCAATGATGTTGTGGGCACGCATCACAATAATTCCAGTTATCAATTCAACAGGTATTCGTTGTTTTAATAAATCAACAACCAAAATGCGTGTACTTATGAACTGTATTCCACCTTCCAGATAGACTTTTTCACTAAAATTTAACTATATAAATACAAAAAAAAACTATATTCATATTAAACGACTAACCGTTCTGCAGCAGTATTTGCTACTTCATGCACGTATTTACGTTCTAATTTTGTTTTGTAGTATTCCTCTTCCCAATCGGAAGCATTTATAACTAATATTAAATTACCAGCATCACTATAAGCTTTTAGTATATTTATTAGCACGCGATCATAATGTAGACCCCTGAAAATAAATCCATTTATTTAAATAATTACAATGGCTGAAAATTTTTCTCACTTTGCACAAACTAATAAACCATCCGCATGCACCATATCTAAAAACATTTGCTTCTCATATTCCAACAGCACTATATTCTTATGCATTATATACTCCTCAGCTGTGACAATATTCGCCAAATCCTCATCATCCTGTCGCTCTCGTGCAGCTTTACTAGTACTCGGCTGCTCATCCTCACATATTGTAACAGAATTTTCCTCTATTTTATTATTTGCTGCTTCATTTAAATTTTTAACTTTTTCTACACTAGTTTCTGAAGCCATTATAAAATTTTCACATTACATTTAGTTTTGCAATAAGCACAAAATGTTTTGATAAATCGGCGGCAACAATTTGCAAATTTGGTATATAAACAAAACCAGCTGTCAGTTTTGTTAGTTGCCATTCACCAACGGTTTCAGTTAAACGTTCACAATAATATAATTAGTTAATTCTATTGTGACTTTGTGTGTGGTAGGTTTAAGTCTTGACTTAATTACATTCACAATAGATCTGCAATATTATTTATAAATACAAACTGTATTCAGGCTGTGACAAGTTCAAGTAAATTGTGGGAAATAGTATATGATGTCGGTGTGGCGAAGAATGTTGGTATTAACCAGAATTTCGAGTTGGGTAAATTAGATAAAAATTAGGTATATTAGTTGTTACCATTGTAAAAATTTTATAAGATGTTTAATAAATATATAAACAAATTTCAAAACTTTTAATCAAAAATAATAAATAAGTGCAATAAATAAGTAAATAAATATTTACATAAAAGCAGAGCAAATAATCCCTAAGAAATTTAATATTTCTTTACCTCAATTTACCCGAACTCACACATGGCCTCAATATAACTAATGGATATAAAATACAATAATAATGCTATGTTCAAACACACCTTAATTTCACAGAAATCTTAGTTTCATTTTCGGCTCAGCGAATTGAAGTAGTTTTTTCACTGTTTTAAGAAGTATAATGTAATATAATATATATTGTACAGTTTTAATTTTGTACAAAGAATATATTATTGTGAATATTAAAATTTAACTTTTTATAGTTAAAAGTTAAAATTTTGAAAAATACTATTGTATATGTAGTTTCTAGGGGTTTATTTATTTATAAATTCATATTACACTGTTTTCATAAATATAGGACGTGTGCGAGTTAGGCTAAGTTGCGTTCTAAATGATTGAAATTCTACGTTGTGCCTATTATGTAGTGATGTGTCAATACGTGTTGCTAAATGGCTAAATGTGTGCAGTGCAAAAAATCCCTATAAAGGTCCCATTTGGTTTAGCATCAACTTAGCCTAACTCGCACACGTCCATAATGTAATGTAATATAATATATATTGTACTATTTTGATTTTATAAAAATATGTTATTGTGAATATTAAAATAAACTTTTTGAATATTTAAAAATTTGAAAAATGCTATTGTGAATGAAATTTTATTGGAATTATTATTTTATGAAAATTAATGATAATTTCGTGAATTAACAATTTTAAATATATTATATAAAAATGAATATAATTATATATATAATTAATAATAATAATAAATTTCTAAAATATGTATGGTAACTTTAATACATATACATATATAGATTATTATCTCATTATCCATACGGTACAATTTATATTCCGTTACATGACAAGACAAAATTAAAAAATGCCCACAAGATGGACGCATATGACGAAGGAATTTTAACTTTTTATTATCGTGCGGGAATAATTTTAATATTTTTACGAATGTTAAGTTTAATAAAAAAATTTGAAATTTATAATTTAATATGCAAAATGTTTAAAAATAAATGGAATAAATATAAAAGGCAAATAACCGATAATGGTGTGGTCCTGATGGATTATTTAAAGCCCAAAGCCACGTTGTTCGCAGAAAAAACTGTGGAATATACAAAAACCGTAATAAATTTATTATTAGGAAATTATGAAAAAGTATTTGCAGAAGAAAGTGAGTATATATAAAAAATATTATAAATCATATTTTATATGTGAAGACTTACTTCAAATTTAGATCTTGCAATAGCTGAACCAAATGACATGGAAGATCGATTACTATATCGCGCAAGTATAGCAGCAACGCAATGTTCATGGATATTTTCAGACATCGAAGCAGTACAAAAGGAACTACAAAATTCAACTATGGAAAATTCTGAATGTACCTTCAAGTCAATAGCGGCAAATAGCACAGCTGAAAGCTTTCTGAGTTATGGCGAGGATGAATATGATTCTGGTCTGGTACATAGTAATGAAATGCATAAACAATTTTCCCACATATCAGATAGCAGTGCAACTAGTACATTAAATTCATCTCAGCATGATAAAAACTTAGTTATGGAAAGTGAGTTGATTTTGGAACCAACAGATTGTATTACTAATGTTGAGCATGAAAATAGTCAAAATGTTTCCATAACTAATACTGAGGGATTCGAAGCTATAGATGAAGTTCAAAAGGAGGTAGAGGAAAAAGCTAATGAAACAAACACTGAAAAAATATATGGAACTCACTTAGAAGTGGAGCTTAACACATCAAATGCTGAAGAAGGGTTGTTGAGCAAATATCCGGAAGATCAACTAACAGATGATAAGATAGAAAATAACAGTTTAGTTGAAAGTTTAAGTAAATTTTCCGGAATGCAATTGACAAATGATGAGTTAAAAAATATTAATTTAATAAATGAAGTAAATATTAGTGAAGAAGTTCCTATATCTACTGCCGGATTTGGAACTAACAGCAAAAATATATATGAAGAATGCTTAGAAATGGAATCACTCATAGTGGATGAAGCAGAAGAAATGTTTGAGAAATCTCCCGAAATGCAAAAAACAACTAAAAAAGGAAATGATTCCAATGACTATAAAGAAATGTTGAGCAAATTTGCTAAAGCTCATTTAACAAATGAGAGTGAAAAGGATACGAACTTGAAAGAAATGCTGAGCAAATCTTATGAAATGGATTCCATAAAAGATAAGAGAAGTGATACATACTTGAAAGAAAAAATAAACAAATCTACTGATGAGGAAAGCCAAATCTACTTAGAAGAAAAGCTAAAAAAATATCCTGCAGTGCATTTAACAAATGATGAGAGAAATGATATTAACCCACAAGAAAAGCTCATCATAACTTCTGATGTGCATTCAACAAATGATAAGAGGAGTGATACTAACTTACAAGAAAAGTTCAGCGAATTTAATGAAATGGCTTTGACAACAGTTAATGGCAGTGATACTAAATTAGAAGAAAAGGTGAGCATAACTCCTGAAGTGCATACAGCATATGATGAGGGAAGAGTTACTAACTTAGAAGAGAAGCTGAGCATAGCTCCTAAAGTGCATACAGTAACCGATGATGAAAAACCTTTAACAAAAGATAAGGAAAAGGTATTTAAATTAAAAGAAATACTGCGAAAATATCACGAAACAATTCCAACAAATGATAAGAGAAAATATGCTGATATAAAAAATATGGGTAAATCCCACGAAATACATTTCACAAATGAACAGGTAAAATATTACAATTTAATGGCTGAAAATGCTGTTGAGAAGAAGACCACTCTTTCATTTAATCATGATTCTTCATCAACTGCTCAAAAGACAAACACAGACAATATGAGCGAAGCACATAATCAAATCTCTTCATCACCTATTGATAACAAGAATATTGATGCTAAGAATATTGATGCTAAGAATATTATTGCCAAAAATTATCAGAAAACATCCATCAACAGCAATAATTTAAATTTAAAAAAAAATGATCTTAAATCATCTGTAGACAAGAATTTCTTTTCCACTTACTTCAGTGATAACGCAACATTCAGGGATTCAAATAATAATAAAACAAACTCCACTAGAAATTATTTAAATACTTCCACTGCCACAAGAGCTAGAAAATCACCAAAAACGCTGATTGAACCGATTGCATCTAAAATCTCAAATATCTTTGCCAGTCAAAAAAATAAGAGAAGCATATATGCAGCTTTGGCAAATGCACCAAATATTCAAATGACTTCAAATTTGAGTAAACAGGGTAAACCAAAGACGAAAACAGCATCAGTAACATTTCATGAAGATTCAATAAAAGCTACAAAAAAACTTAAGAAAACCAATAATGCCCAAACCACAAATCGGATGCTTAGCAGACGTTGTTCAAAGAGTTGCGGCGATATATACTTTGATCCATCCCAAACTCAAGATACAACAACAGTAGACAATAATTTCTTAAAACCTCATAGCAATAGAGTCAGAACTACTAGTGACTGTGTTAGTACAAATTCTTATCATTATTTTTTGGATCAAGCATGTGGTTATAACAATAATTATTCCAACTTTGGTGGTGGATTTCATTATACTCCCTCAAATCTACAAAAATATTCCACGTCAAGCACGGCATACAATAATAATTATTATGAGAGCAGTGCTGGTGATGTTGGAAATACTTCGCTGTCTTCTAACTCATACAGAAGTACTGGATCTTCACAGCAAATTAGAAGACTACAAGAATATAATTCCGACTGCACAGTTCATAGTCATCAGCACAATAACAGCCCCCAATGGGTGAATGACTTTCACTTCCAAAGATGGTGCTAATAATGGAACCTAGTTAATTTATGAAGCTGGCTTTATTTCAGAGTGGACTATGCCATAATGACTACAAAACAAATTTTATTTAAATAATTAATAATATATATTTATTCTTTTAACGATTTTTATTTGTAATTAATTTTGTCAATTTGTGTTTAACTTAATTTTGGACATTGAATGTTTTATTTAAATGTATTGTGTATTGTTAAAACTATTGTTTAAAAGAATTTTTGTGTAATAACTTAATTAATGTATGATTTCCAATATTAACATAAATTTTAACCATAAACAAAATCAGTTAATAAACTATAACAAATATAAACGGTTTGAAAAGTTTTTTCTTTGTGTGATTCAGGTAGATTCCTGTTGTCGTGATAAACCGCTGAAATCTGCTTGTAAAATCAATTTAGAGAGTGTTTTTTTTTTGGAACCTATACACGATGTTGGGGATTATAAAATCCACAATTGGGCTGATAACGGAATGTATAACGGAATGAGTGGAGCGAGTCATCTCATCGAGGTAGAGAGAAAGGAACTGAGAGGGCCTGTGAAAAAGGGCTTGAAGAAGCCCAGAAGGAAGAACCTCGTCATGAAGAATATTAAGGGGGAGATTGTGTCGACGAGTTAAGTGTCTGCGCGCAAGTGAAAGAAAGTGCTCGTCGAGTCTTTTAATCTTGGCAGCGGAGCAGAGTACTCGACAAGAGTGGTGATATTCATTGGGTTTGCGTCTGTAGTTGGTGCAGTCGCGAAGGATTTTTCTTACGAGGACTCGAAGGCATTCCATTTTTTTAAGGAGTGTTGAGTAGCAGTTGGTCATCAAGATAGACGTGTAGCTCCGGGACGTAGACCCGGTCGTTTTTGAAACCATTCAAGTGGGTAGACTGTTTCTGTGAGGCAGCGTACTTGATCTACCTACTAACTTAAATGATTGAACTCTGGCCAATGTGATAAGTTAACTTTAATCTTTATGAGTGACATTGATACTGGTAATTGCAATGGTAATAATGAGGAAGGAAGTATCTCTATTTGTATTAAAAATATTTTTCAAAGTTTTTCACAAAAGCTTGGTATGAATGTTGTGTCGATGTGCTGTTAGCTGACAATTCCTAGAAATTTTTCATTTTTTAATGCTGTCTAAATTTAATAACTATTGCGTGAAATCAGTAATATAATTTTTGAGTTCTATCAGTTTCAAACAATTAAATACACGGTGTGCAGCCATCTGTATGTAATTTTTTCAATACTCTCATTAAGAGAGTATACTCTCATTAAGACGCCCTGCAAAGATATGAGTCTGGTTGACAGATCATTCCCCATTAGGAAACCATGCTAAAAGATTCAATTACTCTGATATCAATTTTGTGGTAAGTTTATTGATACGTCACAATTGATTAGGGATACTAGGGATATCATACTAGAAAATTGAATTACTCTCATTGAGTTGTCATATAAAGGCAAGAATCTTGCGGTAGGCTTTGTTGACGGGTTACAGTCATGCTAAAAGATTAAATCTCCTATTTAAACATTCACAGCCTAGTCGTTGTTAGGATCACGGTTAGGAAAGTGTCTAACATCTACTTTGTGACTATTCAACGAATATTTATAGCAGTCATTTAACTCCAGTCATTTATCCAGAAACCAAATGCTTTACACTCTTCTAATTCCGTTACGGTTTTCTTTCCACGTATCAACTCATCGATAACAAGTCAAAAGAAGCAGTTGCGCTAAAACACTACAATGCTTACAACCACTTTTCAAACTCAACATCCTTAGCGCGAAGAACAGAAAACTGATTTATAGCCAGATAATTAGACCAGCATTACTTTATGGGTGTGTCGCGTATAGCAAAGCTGCCGACTCTACTATACAAAAGCTACAAGTTGCTCAAAGTTAGGCTCTCCAAAGACTCTTCAAAGTGCCTTGATACATCCACACAAACGACATCCTAAGAGACCTTAGAATAGACCCGATCAAAAAATACATAAGGGACAGAGGCCTGAAGTTATATGCGAAAACTGACAGACTATCCTACTTAGCACTATCTAATCTTAGAGTAATCACTCTCCGCACGGGGAGGTATGCCGATCTTAGATCAATCACTAAATAATCATGAAGCTTATAGGGAATACATAAATTAGTCAATGATATGAGTGGGACCCTGTAGTACCCCCAGCTATCAAAGAGTAAAAGTGCCCAAATGCGCTGACTCGAAAAAAGGATCAACATACATACATACATACTCATCGATTAATGAAAAAACTAAGCTATATATATCATAATATTTAACTGTCAAAAATATTTTGAAAAAAATATATTTGAGGTTAAAGAACTTTTATTCTAGAAAGTTTATATTCCTTTCACCAGTTTTTCTTCTAATATAAGCAAAATTTAATTAAAAACTGTTTGGCCACTTGTTTTTTTTTATTATGAAATGAAGAAATTTTGGGTATATTTTAATGAAACTCGTTACGAAAAACATCCGTTGGTTGAAGACAAGATTATTTTCGATAAATTCCAATGGATTTTCTGGTTTCTCTATCTTGGAGTGTTCTTATATACGACTTATTTGCTGGCAAAAGTAATGGTGCTATATCAGAGACATCGCAATCGTGTTATGGAAGCTACTAGATTATTAAAAGAAGCCGTTGATAAAATGCGCCAAGATATCACTGAGCCATTACATGCAACGAGTTTAAAGAGCATACATAATAACGTCCAAAATATCATACAATCGGATAATAGAAATCAAAGATATCATATAGCTTTTGTATACCCGAGCACTTCCGAGGAGCAAAGTGAAAATGAATCAAATGGAAAAGAGTTGATGGCACGTGAGTCAACTTTTGTACTGCTCGGTAAATGTGATATACCACCAGATTCAACTGTGAGCAAAAATTTAAAATGTAAAGCAAGTAAGCAACCAGTAGAGAACGATAGGCTAGATGGCGGTAAGACAAATGGACACAAAGAAATCACCAAAAGTTCTAAATCGTTAACAATGTTTCAGAACAAAACTTCTGAAGAATGCATTGAGAATAGTAAATTAATACCAGTGACAGAAATATTCACTACAGATATTATTACAACTGAGGGCTATCGGGATGCTGACGTCAACTTTCGTAGACATGACTACGTTAATTTGGATTCAGCTGAATTATTATTAAATATGGGCTCTAACGTAAATGTTAATATTTGTGATGACGTTTACTTTGGGTTACCTACACCAATAGCAACCGTTAGCAGAACAGAATTATATTTTTCCAATATCATATCAGATATTTCTGGCTCAAGTGAACTTAGCACGAGTGAAGCCAACATAGATTGTAACGAGCACGCACGTGTAACTCAAATGCCCGATAAAATGTTATTTAATGATTCTTCAAGCGAAACGCCGACGAGTACAGTGTCAACATTAAACATATCAACAACTTCAATTGACACGAACTCAGATAGTACATTTTCAGATAACGAAAGTGTAGTTGATACACATACTTCAGATTCTGGCGGCCCAGACTCAATTGTCGTTACTCCAAGTTTTATACATAAGTGGAATCTACAAACCCGCACCTGTGACGTTGATGTTATGGTTCAGGAATTCGAACACATAATACCGGAACTTGAAGTAGTTATGCCTATGTTGCGTTCACGTTCAGTACCTCGTATGTCGGTAAGCAGTGCATTTCGACGTACTCGCAGTGCTCCGGCAACATGTTCACAACGTCGCATACCCTGCGTTTGTTCAAAGCTCTCTAAATCGGATGAGTCACTCCTCAGTTTATTGAACTCAAATTATCCATATAATAGCTTTATGAAGAAATAACAAAAAATTAAAAGTTGCATGTTTACAATAGTTTATTAGTTTTTAATATAGCTAATATATTTGAACCTTAATTTGATTTTTTCATTTTTAAAAATTTCTATTCGCTTCAGGTTCGCTTTGGAATACAGAATTTAGAATATTTAAGAATCTTATTTTTTGAAGAGAAGATTCACTCTTTTCATATATCAACAGAACTTTACCTCAGTCTACAATTGAAACTTTTTTGTGGATTTCTTAACTAATGAAAGCATTTAGTATCACAGGTACACATCACAGATAAACCATAAATTCCATACATTAATTCAAATTTGACGAATTTCGAGTTTTACCTCTTTTGAAGAGAGTATGCGATATATACTGCTATGAAATCGTGGGAGTCATTTTTTTTGTACTCGCAATCCGTATATTATTGGTTTGTGGTTTTGGTATTGTGTAGAATAATTTTTTTTAAAATGGAAATAGTGAACAATAGAACAAAACAATAGTTGAGACGCAATGCTCTGGTGATATTCATTTGAAATAAATACCTATGTACTGAATAATATATCGCATAAATAAATAAAAATAAAGAATTGATATATTAAGTCATATATATGTATATATATACATATGTGTATATATTATATACATTCAAACTTCCTTAACTCGAACTTCTATAACTCGAACCAAAAATAGTGCACCAAGGTTTTAGTAAACAAATTACATACAATTCTGCTTCCATAACTCGAACTTCTATAACTCGTATTTCTCTATAAGTCGAACAAAAATTTTTTCTCGTACCGCTAGGAATATGGAGAAAGTGCATTCTATATAAGTCGAATTTTTGTTTTAAGTAAAAATCCATTTTGCTATTAGGGAAAGTCCCTTTTTCCAAACCAAATGTTTAATTTTTTCTTTGGTTGCTTCTTTGTGCAAATGCCAGTAAAATAACTTCCAATGCTACTCTTAACGATTATATTGAGCTTGATAATGAAATTTGTACATCAAGCTTTCCTACAGATGATAATATTATTGTACACTATAGCTCTAAATTACTGGATCCAATTCTAAGCGCAATGGAAAGTGATGATGAGAGTTCGGTGGATGTAATTGTTTCCCAGCCTTCCTAGAATGAATAGAAGACTCATTCAAAATTCTGAATTTATATTTGCAAACGAATGATAGTTCTATAAGAGTATGAATAAAGTGGAATCTCTTTTTACTGAAAATAAGAAAAAAATTAAAGACCTAAACCCTAATTTCTGAATATTTTACTTTACTATAACTTCTGTGTTTTATTTGATTGCAAATAAATAAA